CTTGAAATTGCAGCTAAAATAAGGAGATGAAGTGCATTATATCCCAATACTGGGGAAAGGCACTTTACATAAATTTTCCTTATTTCACCCTGGTGGAAATGGGTACCTGCCTATAGATAGCGAAAGATCGTGTTAGTTTGTTGCTGTTTGAGCGCATGAAATCAGCAGCTTGCATTGTATGCCTCCCAAGAAGTGAAGCCAAGAATGTTCCTGAATGTTCAAAGGTCTGCTGGGGTAATAACAGTTGTAAAGCATGCTGTAGTGCCTGAATATGCGCAATATAAAAGCAATTTTTATTATTATAATGCTGTGCCTTTTTATTGATTGAGTACTAAATAATATGTATTTCTGACAAAATTCTTAGAGAAATTTCTCTTTCAATGTAATCAAAAAATATATGTAGGCAATAGGTTTGGTTTTCATGTTTTTATGTAATACTGTTCTACTTTCTTCATGCTCATCACATTGTTGTGAATTGTTCTTAATGTCTACATTCACAACGGATAATCTAGTCATGAAGATTCGCTTTCATATTTGAAAGTTGAGAACTACAGCAGTATTCAATAACAATTGCCCCAATTTTTTAGTGTAACCGGTTCTTTGATTTCATTAACCTGTGTACAGATTGTGTCTAGAAACATCCGTATTATGAGATGACATTTTAGTGTATACCTAGAGCACTTATTACATATATTGTAAGACAAAGTCTTGAACTAAAACCTTACTTCATGGAACATTAAATAGTTTATAAGAATTGTTGCTTAAAGTTTTATTGGTTTTCTGATTTGCAAGTATAAACAAATGGAACAGGTGAAGGCATCTTTTTGCCTTTATTTGCTAGCATACAAAATGATTTCACTGCTGTATACTCCAGCATTTTTTATTCTTTTCCATGAGGGAAATTGTTCGTTCAAGCTGTTGTTTTGACCAGAGTATTGAAAAGTAATAGTCCCACATGGTTCAATTTGTCCTGTTGTTTATGCACTTTATTTTTTGTGATGTTTTCAGCTGCTCAGTTTTCAGTTAGTAGTTCAAAGCATTCCAAACTTCGGGACCACTTTTACAGAATCACAGCCCGAGGAGCAAATTGGGTTGATTTTTGTTGTAAATAGCTTTTATGATCACTGTATTGTTTTCTTTTGGAT